TCCAGAGATGCAGAAAACCTAGGTGCTGAGGCAAGAAAGGATTTGGGTAAACTTTATAGATATGACTTGTCAGGTAGAAGTACAGGGAATCTGCAATAGCCCCATAGGTACCACCCTACAACATAGGATGATAAAGCTTCTCTTTGAGGAATAATTCCAGCCCAGAACACATGGATCTGAGGAAGGGTGCCTTATAAACTGCTATCTCCATCTCAGTTTCTCCTGATGAATCTATTTGTAGGAACTGACCTTCTTTATTTGGCCCTGCCATTCTGACCTCTACACCAAAGGCCATGTAGAAATCAAATATCTATTCTTGCTCTGCTCATCAGTTTTACCTATCCTTTTCTAATCGTCCAGTTTTCTGTTTCCTAATTTTCACTTACTAATGAGTTGCCCATCTGACATCTATGTCTCATGCTCCTCTTCACTTCCCTCAACTGGGCCTTGGGTCACTGCTTACTTTCCTGCCTGCAGGTCACTTTTGGAAAGCCTGCATTCTCTCACTTTTTGAAAGGTTGCTGCTCTTTTCTGAAGTGCAGCAATCTTATGCGATCCTTATTTCCTTTTTGCACAGTTTCTTTATTCTCTACAATCCCATGGTTCAAAGCCATTTAGATGATAGTGTGGACCACAAAAAGGCCACATGCTAACCTGACTAGCACAGGGAAGGCCTGCATGGCCATCTTGCAAACTTAAAGAACTAAAGTAACCACAAAGGATGGTCTGAAATTAAAACTAACCAGAAGCAGTTATGGTGGGTAGTCACGTCTTAGTCCGGTATCTTCCCTGACAAGATCAATCTTTACCTGAGCCTATAGTCTTTTTCATCTATGATAACATATCATAGAAATGTCACAGTTACTTGTAACTTCCCTTTTTTTCCAGACCCCTCAGGGACAACCAAATGCCCTGGGTGCCAGGATAGAGACCACAGATTCCTTCATTGTTATTGTTATCATGTTAATTGTTGACTGTTAACTATCCTGTACCCACATAAGTAAAACAAGTATGTATCTATCATCTCATTTTTTATCCAATCCCAGAGGTTCCTCCCCCATACATTCTCCTGCCTCTCTAATCTATCACCAATGGATTTCATGTAACCCACTTAGATCTCCTGCTTTGAATGTAATGTATAAAACAAGGAGAAGACCACCATTCTCTGGAGCATTATCCCAATCCATTGAGATTCTACTTCCCCGCAATTATGCACAGTTTGGCTCAAATAAACTCACAAAATTCTTTACAGGTTTGAATGTTTTTATGCTAACAACAGCAATCTTTACCAAGGCCATATTGTATTAACCACCTTTAAAACTCCCTGTGGGTAGTGGGCTCTGGGTTGTCCCTCTGTTTCTCTGGTGAAGGTAATTGCAGCCTCCTGTTGTCTAGAGGTTAAGTGCTTGCACATGATCTATTACTTTCAAGCTCCATCTTCCCATAGGTGTTCATGAGAGAGACACACAACTGGACTCCTTAGTGACGGTGATGCCCTCTCATTGGCTCCTTGCTAATGCCAGTGACTGCTGTGTCCTTTGGGCTTTCTCTTTTGGATCCTCAGGCCTTACATGACGTAATCATTTCACTATGCCCTTCTGCCTCACATGTTTTCTTTTTTATCTTTCAAAAAACTCAGGTATTTCTACTCTGCACTTTGTGGCCTTTTGTTTTCTCTAAGCTTCTAAGAGCCTCCTTATAAAGTGAGTTCCTCTAATCCCCTAATGTGTTTGCTTAAGTCTTGAAAATCATATGCTGAGACTGTGTCCCCAAGGCAATGTATTCTTGCATATAAAATCTTAGGTAATTCTAATGGGGAATGAATACACTATACTTATGTAAAGATACTCATATTAATCATAGTAAATGATAAACGTAGGTTGTTACTCTAACTTAATTTTTCTCTCATAACTAGAGCTAACATGTTAAAAGGTTTTTCTTTAGTAACTTCATAATCTAGCAGTTTCAGTTCCTGTGTGAACCTAAGAAGCAGCCTGACCTTCAAGGCCCTGGCTAACACCCACAGCCCAGACACAGGTAGTCAATGAAAAATAAAACCACACAGATGCCCAACACAAGTACTCTGACCACGAGAATCCATATCAGGACCAACAAGGACACTACCTGCACAGCCCCTCCCCCTGATCTCTTTGTTCTGTTTCCCCTCTACCTCCTTATAAAAACCTCAGTAGGCCTTAGCTGGGTTGGCTCAGTGATAGAGTGTTGGCCTGCGGACTGAAGGGTCTTGGGTTTGATTCCAGTCAAATGCACATGCCCGGGTTGTGCACTCGATCCCCAATAGAGGGCGTGCAGGAGGCAGCCAATCAATGATTTTCTCTCATCATTAATGTTTCTATCTCTCTCTCCCTCTCCCTTCCTCTCTGAAATCAATAAAAAAAAAATACTAAAAAAAGAAAAAGATAAAAAGCTCTGCCTTCACTGACCTCTTAATATGGTTTTTGATGATGGAAAAGTCCCCCATATTCTAGAGATGCCAGCATTCAAATAACCTTCCTTCAGTTTACCAGGACCTGACTCACTAGTTTGGATTTTATTGCAGCATGCAGTAGAATCAGGTATTTTGGGTTACATTCTAGTTCCCTTGGTCAAGCAGACTCAAAATCCAATCCTAGGGGTACTCCCCTGGCACCCACCGCTATATACTAAAAGTATAGTGTTTGTCGCTTTTTTGTGGTGTAACCTCTTTTCAGTTTTATCAGATCCAGCAGGTCAGCAGCTCAGTTCTTCTGGGATTGAACCCTAATTATAGGCCTGCCCCCAGGACAGGTATTAAGGTAGCTCCCAAGGGAGACTCTATTATCTTGAGAGAAGTGGCTTCTGCAGTGTCACCCCAGCCTTGAGAAGTGCCAGCTCTTACTGTGGAGGCCTGGGCTTGCTCTGTAAGCTCTGAGGTTTCAGGGGACTGCAGAGCTAAAATCCTTGGGGGATTCACTTGGATGTTCATTCTATCTTCCAGGTGGAAGCTGATGGAAGCAGACATAAAGGCAAATTGAATTACTAAGAGCTTGTGAGAATGAAGAGGAAACTCAGGGAAGTGGTAAGGTAGGTTAATCAAAAAGACCCATCAAATTTTCCAACAGAGATCACACAGTATGTTCTAAATGGCATCCCTGAAATTTGTTTTTTACTGATTCTCTAAATCTGTCTCGTTTTAGAAGAATTCTACTTGTGGAATGCCAGTGTCAAGAGCTTCATGGACCCATTCCTCAGTGAAACCACATCATGATGAAAGTTATTTACAAAGCCAACCATTTAAAGTTCCTGGGAATTGTCCTAACAAAACCAAGAAAGGAACACTTATTAAAGAAAACTCATTAAACTTAGTAAGAACAGTGGAAGAGTCTATGCCATGAGCCATGATTGACCCTTTGTTACAGAAATTACCAGGGCACTGGAAAAGACGCAACGGTTCTGGAAGGTTTAAGGAAAAATCCTTTATTTTCAGATGTGCTAGTACAGTGACTCGGGGGAGACTGTTTCTCTCCAAATCCTGAGTGAGTCCATATGGAGGAAGCCTTCCCTTTATATCAGGCTTCTGGACCTTTTGCTGGCCTTGTAGCCCCGCCCCCACCCTGTGGGTTGGGATGGGGGAAAGGAGATTATACTCAGAGGCTTGGCCTGTCTGGCACCAGCCCCTCCAGGGATTGTAACAGGTTCTGCCAGGCAGGACAGGTGTCAGGTTAGTCGCACAGATTCAGATAGCTAGCTCCACAGGTCTTCTTTCCCCTTCCCCTTCCCTCCACTCTGAGCAGGTGTGGCCAAGAAGATGGGGCTTCCTCTCCCCTCAGCTCCCAGGGTATCTTACTGGGAGAGTCAGGCAGCCAGCATTTCTCATCCCTACCAACTTGGAGGTGCAGAGGCTAAATTGCAGGAGAGTGCTGTGGGGAGGTTGGGGCTCCCCTTTCCCTCCATGCCTACTCCTAGGTGTAGAAGTCCTACCACTAGGATGGCAGGGTGAAATGGGACCGTCATTGTCCTTGCCTCAGCTCACTTGAAGGGCAGAGAGGTTCCATGCTGGGAAAGACCAACCAGGAAAACTAGAAGCTACTGCCCTCCCCCAATGTCAATAGCACTGACTCAGAGGTTTTTCTCCAGGGGAAAA